CAGTAGTATACTATTAGGAATACCGTACGATACTACCATTATCATTTTATTATACTATTATGAGATTATTAATGTACTAGAGTTTTTTAACTCGACATATTGGTTTGATTGTGTTATGATGTGTTTTAAGTATTTTATCAAAACCCTAGATTGAAATTATGAGAGTATTAATGTACTATTTTATTGGTTATGTTGGAATTACTTTACGTTGGTTTTGTTCGCAATGTTCTTGTCACTTCAGTGGTATATTGTTTGTAACACAATTTCATATCACTACTTAACCGTAATATACTATCATAGCAGATTAATGTACTATATTGAAATTATTAATATACTATGTGGTTGAATAATACGGGATCCATAGTCGATTAACGAGATCCATAGTCGAATTAGATCAATGAGATAGTCTATTACATGATATGGGATAGTCTAACAATATTAAAACACAAATCCGTCGCCATCACTTATCAGATCTAGGATTTTGTTGATTCTTCGGCCCAATAGTCAAATAACTAAACCCATAGTCGAATTAAATATATGGGATAGTCTATTAAATGATATGAGATAGTCTATTAATTTTAAAACACAAATCCGCCACCGTCACTTCTCAAATCTAGGGTTTTGATGATTCTTCGGCCCATAGTCGATTAACGAGATCCATAGTCAAATTATATCAGTGGGATAATGATATGGGATAGTCTATTAATACAGATGTAATTCGACTATGCATCTCGTTAATCAACTATGGGCCGAAGAATTATCAAAACCCTAGATTTGAGTAATCCTAGATTTGAGTAACCCTAGTTTGGAGCAGTGATGGCGGCGGCGACGGCGGCCAACGACGATATCACTCCTAAATTGATTGTTACGACCTTGGAGGCGAGAGCGGCGGAGGTCTTGGTCGTTTTTGGCGGTCTTGGAGGTGGAGGTGGTCGGATGTGGTGGTGGTGGAGGACTAGGCGGTGGTGGAGGTGTTGCTTATGGCCAATATAGTTGTTATCGTCGTTGGCCACCGGCGACAACGGTGACGGAGGTGGCGGCGGTCGGAGGTGGAAGCAGTGAACCCGGCGGGAAAATAGGGAGGGATTTCGGAGTGCAGAAAATCGTCAATCGCCGGGTGTATAAATTTCTGGTCTTTCTTATGGGACGTTTACAGATTTTGAAGTGGTTG